TCACTCCCCGGGGGGATGGTCACGCTGCAATCCCTTCTCCTCCATTCTCCTCTCAGGATCTTAGGCACACACGCACATGTGTATTAGAAGATGGTAAACTTTTATAGCCAAGAAATAACCAGCATAAGGAACATTGATAATAGTTCCCCCATAACATGTGCCATAAGTGCTGGCCCTCCCTGGGTGCAAAAAAGTCGACACGGTATATGGTTCAATGATGTTTTATCAATGTATCACATTACGCACTCTCTACATTAAAATTCCTGCCTTGGGGTCAGTGGGTGGCATGGTGGTAAAGGCGCTGGACACTCCCTCATGGCCGACCACGGTTCAAGTTCTGGACCTGGTGGCTTGCTTCCTGACTTTCCCTCTCTCTCTCTCTGATCAAATAAAAATAAATGAATGAATAAATAAAATTAAATAAATAATTCTTTTTTAAAAAAATCCTGCTTTTTTTTGTTGCTGTTTTTAGGTTTTTTTGTTTGTTTGTTTTAACATAGGGCATGTGTGCTCACTGAAGAAAGACAGAGGAGAAAGAAAGAGAGGAAAAGGGAGAACTCACCCCGAAGTGGGGATGGCCATGCTGCAATCCCTTCTCCTCCATTCTCCTTTCAGGATTTTGGACATGCACACATACACAGCTGATGCGTTTTTCAAACCGCACCCTCAACCATGTGGAACCCAGCTGCTTTAACCGCCATGCCTCCTGCTGGCCCCATCAAGTTCCTGCTTTTTGGGTGCCCAGTGTATAGACATAAAAATCCATGTGCACACACACACACACACACACACACACACACACCCTTGTCTTATAAAAATGAGGGGTTTTTTGCTACACCTTTTTATTAACGTGGCAATTAAACAAATGCTTTCACAAGCTCTAAAATATTCTGTAACAGGGAACCAGCAGTTAGCGTAATGGCTATGTCGCCGAACTCCCACGTAGTCGACCGCGGTTCGCGTCCCGGACCCGGTGGCTTAAAACTCATGCCGGGCGCGTGTGCGTGCGCGCCCAAGATCCCGAGAGGAGAATGGAGGAGAAGGGATTGCGGCGTGACCATCCCCCCGGGGGGTGATTTCTCACTTTCTGTCTCTATGTCTCTCTCTGTTTGTCTGGCGAGTGCACGCGCCCTATAGCAAAAACCTCTCCAAAAATATATATATATATATTCTGTAACAGCAATAATCCTCCAAGATGTCTTGCTAATTAGCCCAAAGATATGCAGAAGGGTCCCTCAGTCCTTTAGTGTGGTCATTTTAAAGCAATCTGAAGAGGAGTATGCACTTGAGAGAGAGAAAGAGAGAGAGAGAGAGCACCCTTCAAAGGGGTAGGTCACGCCACAATTCTGTTTCCCTCATTTCTCCATACCCTCAGGATTGTGGACACGCACCTACATATGTCTGATGTGACTTACAAGCCACCAGGCTGGGATTTGAACAGCAGGTGACCAAGTGGGATCTGGCTCCAGATGCACTGCAATTAACCCCTGTGCAATCGAACGAACTTAATTCAGTCTTCCTCTTTTTTTTTTTTTTTTTTACACGATTTCTCCTTTGTTTAAGGATGCTGTCACAGATCTTCGTCATTTTTTTCTTACAGTGATGATACCTGGAATCGGTTTCTCTACCGTGTAACACTTGGTAAAATATGAAATGGCTTTTAGATGTTACTGCGCTATCCAGTCAGGTGAGGGTGACCTGAAGGACATGTCCCTGTGAGGCTCCCCCGATGACATCCCTGAGTGGTATTAAGGGGCCACCGCTCAGGAGACGCACAGGGATGCGAACTGCATTTTGCACACAGCCACAGGTCCTGCCACTTTCACTGTGCACAGCGGCAAGTTTTCTTAAAACAAGAGAAATTAGGGGCCAGCAAGTGGCACAGTGGTTAAGGTGCCTAGATTCTCACATGGCTGACTGTGGTTCAAGTTCCAGGCCCAGTAGCTTGAAGATCATGTTGGGTGTGTGTGTATGTGTGCTCAAAATCCAGAGAGGAGATTGAAGGAGAGGGGATTGTGGTATGGTCATGCCCCCTGGGGGGGGTGACTTCCCCCTTTCTTTCTCTTTGTATCTCTCCTATCTGATGAGTGCACACGCCCCTATGGAAAAACCTAAAAGAAAGAGAGACAGAGAAATTACACTTAAGATAAGAAGCTGGGGACTAGATAGTGGTGCAGCAGTAACATGAGGCAAGGTCCTGGGTTCGAATCCCAGGGCCTCCTTGTACACACCAAGCATGTCTGTGTGTGCCCACAAGCCTGGCTGGCTGAGGCTGGGTGGATCACAGCATGGAGACCCTGTTATGGGTGCTCTCTTTCTCTTTCTCTCAGAAGAAATAAAATAACAAACATTTAAAAAAAAAAAAAGGCTAAAAGAGAAATTGTATGTTTACCTTGTAAAAGTCAAAGAGAATTTTGATAAACCTCTCCATGTCTTCTTAACTTTTGAAACTTAGTAAACTAGGATAGATTAAATGTACTTATTTAGCAGGATAAAAAAACACTCAGCCGAAACCCACTCTAAACATCAGAGACAAAATAAAAATTTTTATCATCACTGTTTTACTCAGTTAATTCTGAAAGTTTTTTCTTTTCTTTTTTTTTTTAGAAATTATTTATTTAATTTTATTTACTTATTATTCTTCAGTTTGACAAGAGAGAAACAGAGACAGAGAGAGAGAAAGCAAACTGCCAGGTCCAGGACTCAAACTGTGGTCAGCCATGTGAGAATCTAGCGCCTTAACCACCACGCTACTTGCTGGCCCCAAATTCTAAAAGTTTTCTAGCCAACAAATTAAGAAAAACAGAGATATAATTAGAAAGGAAAATGCAATGTGCAATATTGTAAAGATGCAGTTTTGTCCAAATTACTGAATAAATCTAATGAAATGTCATTCAAAATAATTTAGGGGAACCAGCAGTTAGCGTAATGGCTATGTCGCTGGACTCCCATGGAGTCGACCGTGGTTCACGTCCTGGACCTGGTGGCTTAGAACTCACGCCAGGTGCGTGTGCATGTGTGCCCAAGATCCCGAGAGGAGAATGGAGGAGAAGGGATTGTGGCATGACCATCCCCCCTGGGGGGTGATTTCTCGCTTTCTGTCTCTCTGTCTCTCTCTGTCTGTCTGTCTGGCGAGCGCACATGCCCTATAGCAAAAACTTCTCAAAAAAAAAAAATAAATAATTTCTTTAGCAAAATAACAGACTATTTACAAAACCGAAGAACATCAACTGAAATATTAATTAAGAAGAATTCAATAAATGAGGCCAAAGTTAACACAGAAAAATCAATAGTAGAAAAAAAGTTAATCGTCACCCTTTCTTATGTCAGCAATGATTTGTTAGAAAAATGTACGGGGGGCAACAGGTGGCATGGTGGTTAAGGCACACGGCCAACTGCAGTTCCAGTCTCAGAACCGATAGCTTGCTTTCTTACTTTCCCTCTTTTTCTGTCTCTCTCTGGTCAAATTAAATAATAATAATACTAGATAAAGAAAATTAAATAAAATAATCCTAAAGAAAGAGAAAAAATGTAGGAGGGAAACTAATTTTCACAATAGCAACAAAAGTACAATAATCCTAATTCTTAAAATGTATTTATTTATTATATTCCATTTATTATTATTATTATTATTATTATTATTATTATTATTTAATTTATATAGAGAGCAAGAAAAAGGGAAAACGAGAAAGCAAGCTGCCAGGTTCAGGACTTGAACGACGGTCAGCCATGTGGGAATCCAGCGCCATGCCACCTGCTGGCCCCTTCTAAATATTAATTAAGCAGACAACTATTAAATTGCACTGAAGGACACAAGTTATTCCATTGTTTCTTTCATTTACTTATAAAATCAGCAAGACAGACATGGTCCCTGTCCCATCAAACTTACTGTTGACTTTGACAATTGGAAACACTATGTTCACAGATGACAACGTGCGACGTTGCAACGGTGCGATTTTGTCCAAATTACTGTATGAAGCTAATGAAATGTCACTCAGAACTCAAGAGGACTATTCTGAGGAGATCTTGACAAAATATGGAAGCACCAAAATGGGGAAAAGATGTCAAAACCCATAGCACTGGGGGCCCGGCGGTGGCACAGAAGTGAATGTGATACTCCTTGGAGCTGACTCTGTTGGGAGGGTTGTGGGTTCTGATCCAGAGACCTCCCCAAGGAGGCTGGCCAAACACAAGCGCAAGATCAGGTACTGGCTGAGGCTGGGGTGGTCTGTAGCATAAAGACCCTGTTGGGGGTGCACCCCCCCTCCATAGAAGAAATAAAAAAACTTTAAAATGCACCGGGATTAAACAGCCAGAAATGGCCAGACGACGGAACCAGATACAGATAAGAAACAGACTAAGTAGATCTGAGGGTCAGGTAGGTAACAAAAGCCAGCGTTACAGA